TTTTCACCGGAATCGAACGAGATTGCCTCGGAAACAGCGTCAGCATGAATGTTCCAGTAAAGCCAATCGAAAGCTGATCAAGAAGAGTCTGCCGTCATCTTCTGCTGGAACCGACCTTCCAATCTCTTCACTCGAAATGGAAGTGGGCTCAACAATTATGCAACAAGCGATTCCTCGAAACCCAACTTTTCTTCGTATATGAGAATAGCTGTTGGGAGGCGATGCAAACGTAAGTTCTACTCATCCGATTGTGGGCAAATTCAACTGCCGGTCGCCTAATCACCCCAAACGAGACAGAATGAATAGACTTGATGTAGAAAATGAGGTGTTGATTGTCACCGTCGCGAAGGATGAAGCATACGTCGTTGCGCGCCTGCATGAAACAAGTCTGCGAGAGCGCGTCTCCCGCGGCAGTGGACCGAGTGCAGTGGACCGAGAGGAAGTAGCTGATGTCGAACGAGTAGAAGATGCGTTTCTTCTCCACAGCGTACTCGCAGTAGAAGTAGTCCAGACTCATGAGTTCGCAGATGGCCTCGCCAGTGCACACCTCCTCGGCCAACTCGACAATGGCCGATTTGGCCGCCGGGTCGGTCGTCTCCATGACGACGTCGGTCTGGTCGAGGCCGCGAGTCCTGCGCGACGCGAACGTGAGGCAGGAGGCCGACTCTCTGCCGGCCAGTTGGGTCAGCGTCTCGGCCGGCTCGTTGGCCTGCACGGCGACGTCGAGCGAGACGGCGAGCTGAGGCAGCGCGTAGTCAAGGAAACGGACGAGGTGGTCGAACCGGCGTTGGCCGGTACCGGTGTTGGTGTTGGTGTTGGTGCTGGTGTTGGTGTTGGTGTTGGTATTGGTTTTTGTGTTGGTGTTGGTGTTGGTGTTGGTGTTGGTGTTGATGCTGGCCTGGCAGACGAGTAGAGTGGAACGAGGCAACATGTCGAGGATGGTGAGCAGACCGGTCGAGTCCCAACTGGCGCACAGGAGGGAAGAGGCCTCGGAGACGGGCCGGCCGGCCCGGTACCAGACGAACGTCCATCCGTCGGACGGCGGCAGTCGGGCCGAGGAGCAGGGCAGTTGGGCGGGCCGGTTGACGAGGAGCTCGTGGGTGTAGACGTCGTGGCCGTCGCGACGGTGCGACGTGAAGAGACGGTGCGGCACGTCGGCCCGGCAGACGAGACCGGAGCAGGCGGCGACGAGAAGCAGAGAGAGGAGACGTCGAGCGCCCGCCGAGGCCGGACGCATGTCGGGACAGGAGCGGTTGAATGTGACGCGAAATCGATGGCGCCGGTGCCACCGAGGCCCGCTGAGAGTGGAGATGGCGCTTTGGGCAAAAGGAGGCCGGTTCTGCGAGGCACCGGTCGGAAAACTGGCCGACAGAAGAACGTATGTTGGATAAGGGAAATATAAAATGTATTCACACTATTTCGTGTGAGCTGTTGAAGGATCGGCAGTTGTTCTCGTCTTCTGCGAAAGCAGCGCTCTACTCATAGCATTGTGGCAAAATTCGACTGCCAGTCCTTCATCAACTTAGACGAAATTGGGTAAATACATCTCATACTACTGATTTACTAGTAGTCTTGAAATTCTACTTAAATACGAAAAATAATAAAATTCGCGGTTTATTGATAGAACACATGACGAGACAATTGGTCGTTCAGGCATAAGAGTGGTAGAATTACATTATTCGACTAATGGAGAACAAAATTCAATTGAAGTATTAATGAAAGTTGCGGAATTACGATAAAAGTCCTTTTCGAGTCTATCAGTTTCTCATGAATAAGAGTCTTTTAATAACCTTATCCGACCGAAAGTAAATATGATAGAATTCATATATTACTGATAGTCGCAGATTTAAATGAGAATCTGTTTTGAGATCATCAATTGCTCATAAATAAGAGTCTTTGATTCATCATTTCCGCCGGAGGATGAGCAAGATCCAATTGAAGAATTAATGAAAGTCGCGGATTTACGGTAAAAGTCCTTTTCGAGTCTATTAGTTTATCATGAATCACCTTTTAATCACCTTATCCGACCGAAAGTAAATAAGATATAATTCAAATATTACTGATATTCGCAGATTTAAATGAGAATCTGTTTTGAGATCATCAATTGCTCATACGCCAGAGCATTTATAGAAAAAAATGTGGAGATTATAAAGGGCCGATTGCAACTTGGATTTTATGAAAATCAGATCAGGAATGAGGATAGCAACCAAAAGTGGATTTGCCTGCCCTCATCAGAACTGAGCCAACAATTGCTACCATTACTAAAGAAATGGAACATCAGGCTGATAGCAAAGAAGAAGATAACACTTTTCACCAGTCTGCCAAGACAACACGAGAAGACGGACAACTTGAAAGTTCGGGAGTTTATCGCATCAAATGCGAAAACTGTGAGTAGAAGTATGTTGGTGAAACAGAAAGAAAAATCGGACTACGAATCAAGGAACATCAAAGACTGTGCAGGAACATGGATTCGGAAAGATCCAAAATGGCCGAACACATTGCACGAACGGGACACGAAATCGGCCGGAAGGCTGGCTGGATATGGTGAAAATACGATAAAATGCAAGATCCGAGAGGCCATCGACATACTGACCGAGAGAGATCTAATGAACAAGATACTTAAAGAAGACAAGATCAGTGAAAACTTTGCATATGGCTAAACAAACTCGGAGAATACCAGGCAGCAGGAGGATCAGCAAAAAGAAGACGACTGGATCAAGTTAATCTCCTTAATTTGATCGAAGATATAAAGACCAAGATGGTGTGGCCTTTTGTGTGGTCGCAGTCTCCTTTTGTTCTAA